TGGGTGTGGCTATGCAGCATATCTGCATAGCCACGCCATGCATTTCCACGCGGAGTGGTAAGGAAGACTGGAATACCTTTTATCTGCCACAGCTCCTTTCTCTGAGCCCTTCGCACTTGCACAGGTGCACGTGTGGTAACCGTGGTCACAGACATCCTATTGTGCCTATTGGAAAGGAGTTCACACATGACTAGTGCCAGCCCCACCAATAAGGTTGGCTCCCCCGTCAGGTTCCAGAAGAAGATGACTTAACTGTATTTGAATAAATGTAGATTGTTGTATTATACTTAATAAAAATAAGACATCCCCTGAAAATAAGCCCTAGTGTGTCTTCTTGAGAAAAAATAAATATAAGATAGTATCTTATTTTCAGGGAAACACGGTATTAATAACATAATGATATTGGCAATGGGATGCCTTACAAATAGTACTCTAGTAATTGTAGCAAAAGTAAAAACCATACAGTTAGTACATCTCTACAGAATGTCCCAAAAAGTTGTCCCTAAAGTCATCATAAATACGGAAAATGGAAGTTGTAGCTAAAAGTACCTTTATTTATAAAATATTCATTATGAAATTTTACAAAATATTGTCTGTGTATTGGCCATATCTTTGTAAATTTCTAGGGATGACTTTTGGGATACCCTATGTCATCTGCAGGGGGAGATTTTGCTAAGTGAATTTTCCAAAGAGAAAGTCTGTCAGATTTCTGAGCATCTTTTTGAAATATTTGCTAAAGCTGGAGATGGTGGCTCACACCTATAATTGCAGTACTTTGGGAGGCCAACGCAGGTGGATTGCTTGAGCTCAGGGGTTTGAGACCAGCCTAAGCAAAAGCAAGACCCTGTCTCTCAAAAAATAGCCAGGCACTGTGATGTGCGCCTATAGTCCCAGCTACCTGGGAGGCTGAGGCAAGAGGATCTCTTTAGAGTTTGAGGTTGCTGTGAGCTACAAAATCACAGCACTCTACCAAGGGTGATAAAATGAAACTATCTCAAAAAAAAAAATTTGCTCAAATCTGTGTTTTCTCTTTTAAATTAGAGTATATCTCATATCTTTCAGCCAAATGATATTCTTATTTTCTAGAATTCATATTTTTTCATTATTTTTTTTGGTAAGGTATTACTAGGGCATAGATGCTATAGATTTTCCCTTTAAAGGGAAAACATATAAAGAATCTAAGTCACTGCAACTATGGAAAGAAAATAGAATTTATTGGCTAGAGGGAATCTTCTGGAATGGAAGGTTACTTGTCTGATGCAGTTAGAAAGCTGGATGCTGAGAAAAATCAAGGGGAAGAACATCTCCAACCCACCTCAGGTTTCTGAGATGATTACATAGAAAATAATCAAAGGTAAGCTAGCACAGTGGCTCATACCTGTAATCCCAGCACTTTAGGAGGTTAAGCAGGAGACTCCCTTGAGGCCAGGAGTTAAAGTTTATATTTTGTCTCTACAAAATATAAGAAAATTAGCTGGGCAAGGTGGTAGGTTCCTGTAGTCCCACCTACTCTGGAGGCTGAGGCAAGAGGATTCTTTGAGCCTCAAAATACAAGGTTGGCGTGAGCTATGATAGTTTCACTGCTCTCCAGCATGAGCAAGAGTGAGACTCTCTTAAAAAATAAAAAAGAAACTCAAAGGCAGGCTGGAAGTGATAAATGAAGTTGGAGAGGGTAGACTTGTTTCTCAAGTCATGATTCCATGCCTGAAGCATCTCTAATTTGCAGTGCAGTGTGCCCTGAACCGCCCTGCTTTCTTTGCTGAGAGGCTGTACTATTCCATGAAAGGTGCTGGCACAGATGACTCCACCCTGATCAGGATTGTGGTCACTCGAAGTGAGGTGAGACAAGTTTTTTTTTTTTTTCTTTTTGTTTGGCCTTACTTAATGTTGAATGTTGATTTCTTAAAAGTTTCTCACTTGGTTCTTAGTCCTTTAGGAATGATGTTGAGAAAGTATTGAATGTTGAGAAAGTAATGAATACACAGTATTCATTAGTGAAACAGGCTGCTGTGCCTCAGTGAAGACAAAAACCAAAGGGTTTACCTCCTTGAGAAGGTCTATGGAGATTACCAGCTTATGGGACGTTGGAACACATATATTTTGATTTTCACTTTGCTTATATTAAAAATTGTATAAAAGACTTATGCAGATTAATCTTTTTGGATATCAAGTTCTCAAAATTTAGCATCCTTTATCAGTAATAATTTTTTAAAGATTCATTTTCTCTTCACCTAAATATAACCTCAGATTTTTTACCTTAAATTTATATATTTATTGAACTGTTTTTAAATTTAAAGAACATATGTTACTAGATTTCACTAAAGAAAGTAGATAATTTTTTTAAGAAAATAACCAAAACATGTTTTGAAAAAACTTTGTATATTTATTCTTAGGCTTAAGTTTTCTAAGCAGGATTTTTTTTTAAGTTGTGATAATGTATATAACATAAAATCTACTGTTTTAACCATTTTTAAGTTGCATTTAGTACATTGTTGTGCAACTGTCACCCTCATCCATCTCCAGAACTCTTTATCTTAGGAAACAGACTCTCCTAATAAACAATAATTCCGTTTCCTCTCTCCGAACCCCTGGCAACTACCATGCAACTTTTTGTCCCTGTGTTTGACGACTCTATTTACTGCATATGAGTGGATTCATACAGTGTTTTTCCTTTTTTTTTGCAGTTTTTTCTGGCCAGGGCCAGGTTTGAACCCGCCACCTCTGGTATATGGGGCCAGCGCCCTACTCCTTGAGCCATAGGCGCCACCCTGTTTATCTTTTTGTGACTGGTTTCTTTCACATAGCATCATATCATTAAGGTTTATCCATTTTGTGGCATGGAATTCCCTCCCTCTTTGAGGCTGAGGAATAGTCCTTTTGTGTATA